GAGCTGCCGGTCTCTAGCGAGATGGACTGTCGAGGGTTGAACTTGCCCTGAACATGCCCGAACGGTATCGGAGAAGTAATCCCGGGGCTCTGAGTTGTCGTCGTAGTACCGGAAAGGAGCTGTGATTGAAAATTGAAGCCGGGGTTGCTAGATGCCGATGAAGTGGGAATCGGCGGCGAGAAAGGCAGTGGAGGGTATTGAGCGGAAGCCTGGCGAGAAGGAAGTGTAAGCGACGGGGAGATGGCTGGCGCATGATGGTCCTCAGTGGCATCAGAGACACCAAGCGCTCTTAGCTTTGCTTCTTGGAGCTCTTGGACGTAATTCTTCCACGCGTTCAAGTCTGGAAGAGTAACTTGGTAGTGGCCAGTTGATCGCTCCTTGATTAATTCTTCGGCCGAGGGCCAGCAATCTCGGCTCTGGGCGTCATCGGTGCCGGGTTGGTGGTAGTCGTCGGCGATAAGATCGAATCCGTCCACACTATAGCCAAGTTCTTTCCAAGAGGCAAACATGCGCTCAGTCTCGTCGGGACGCAGTGGCATGGGGGTCTTGCCCAGCTTTCCACGGCCGTCATCGCGAGGGACCAAAATCATAATATTCTTCCCTTTCCACGGAACCTTCTTCTTGATTCGGGGCGTTGTGGGGGGCTCCTTTGGCAAAGGCTTTTCTTTCAGTCTCTTGGGCGTTGCGGGAATAGGAACTGGAGCCAGGGCCTCGGCGGCTGATTTTTTAGACGCGTCAGCAACGCCGTCGGAAGATTCTGAAGGAGCCATTGATGTGGGCGCGGCTGCATGCTCTGCAGGAGGTGTTTTGTGTCCCTCCTCAACGGAACGGCCAGCAGGCTGTTCATGTTGGGGAGGGGCCTTGGAGGCCGGCTCGAGCATTAGCTCGGGTTCAGAGGCCATGCTCGTTGAATTACCCAGCTTGAAACCTTTTTCTTCAGAAGGCTTGAGCGTTTCAATGCTAGCACTCGCGCGAGGTTGTCGCGTCTGCTTCTTAGCAGCTTTAGCGGCCTTGACAGCTCTAGGTGTAAGCTCGCCTAACCAGGCTAATTCAGAGCCGCTCAGTGAAGAGTGCTCACTGTCACTTCCGTCACTGAGCCAGAGACGGGGCTCAATATTTCCTTCTCCAGCAGCGGTGTGCGCGCGGATCCAGTCCTCAGTGAGTCCTCTATTGCTGCGCCTGACTCGGTTGGCGAGAACGGCGGCGGCGGCGCTCAACGGCTCACGGATCTCCGTGTCCGGCTGCGGAAGGAATTGAGGAGTTGGTCGGAGAAACGGGGTGTCGATATCTAAATGGTGGATCGGCGACTCTTCAGAGAGGTCGCTGCTGAAGCTTCGTCGGCGTACGTTGCGATCATGCGGGGGGTATGGAGAGCCCCAGCTGGCCGTCTCGAACAGCTCGTCGTTTGGTCGAGTCGGCGATCGAAGAAGAGCCGTAGCTCGCTCAGACAGCTTCGGCGGTGGAAGTTCCGGAGCTGAATGTGAGGACTCGAGGTCTGCGTCGTTCTCGCCGTCGGCGGTGGAAGCCGTGGACAGGGCTGGGGACGCGGGGGGTTGCTGCCGCAGATGAGAAGTTCCGGGACCGTCCAGTGCCTGCGCACGTGGAGGGCCGGAAGTCGACGGCTTCGGGAACGACGTCGTAACGAAGGCTCTAATCGCGAGTGTGAAAGCTTGTTAGTCGGATATGGCAAGAGCAGGAATATATGCAAGTTAGGACGGCCTCGAAGGGTTCCGTTTGGTGACAAGTAATGAGACCAGAGCAAATTCTTTCACAAAGACAAGTGGGATCAGGATTTTGCTTCCTTACCAAGTGAGATCAGCGCAGACGAAGGAGCTGTCGCCTGCAACTGATTCTCTTTAGTCTCTTGTGTCACGTTCACTCTCGTGCTCTTTTCTACTTCTTTTCGAAAAGCCCGAATCAGAGGATCGGAAAGGGAGCGACGGTGCTCAGGAGTGTGGATACGCGTCGCGTCGATTTTATGACGAACCTTTTTTGGCAATTTAAGGGGGCGGGGGCTCGGAGCGATTCGAAATGTAAAGCGATATAGGCAGCGACGTCATCGACAAGAAACGGGAGCGAACCGGGTTAGAGGAGGAGGACGAGATGCGTCGATGCGACCGAACACATCGGAGGGCAGTATAATCGCGACCGAAGTGCGAGGAAAGTTTGAAGGATGCTGGCTTGGACTGGCGACTTTGGAGGTTGGGGGATTACATTAGGTGGGCGAGCGCCTAGGTAGATACCTGGCTTCTTATGGAGCCCAGCCACCAATGAAAGACCCAGGGCAAAGGCAAGAAGAGCAAGTGCCTGGGTTTATTGCACTTGCTATCTAAGATTGTCAAATTAGATACTTGGGTAATAAACCATTGCTGTTTAGTCACCGAGGAGTGGTTCAATGCAGTAGTTGTCTTTTTCCTTTGCATTTGCTATAGCCTACTTAGAAATATCAATTTCCCTGAGAGTAAATCTTTTCTTAAATTGGTGAAGGAAGCGGACCATCCAGGCAAGTACGAATATTCAGCTACTTTATTCAAGTACCTCGAGTTACTTGAGAAGCAGGGCCCTGTGCGAGTAGTGATACTTGCAACTGATGAAATGTACATTACCCAATATGTCTTCGTGTGAGAAATGGCAATCACATGTAATTATTTAGGGGTCTGTATCTACATAATGTACTGAGTAGTTACTGAGAGACCGGACGTTAAAGTTCTCAGGCGTACTGAACGCCAATCGAGCCCAGTCTGACAGCTAGGTAAGTCACCGGTAAAAGTTTCAGGTGCCCGCATGGCACCACAACATGGGGCTTGAGTCATTGTCATGGTCAGTACGATTGTCGCAGTACGTCGCAAACCTATCTATTCATCGACAGATGGACGTTTCCTGTAAAGGATTCAGAGACAGTGAGCTACAAGTAAGTTGGCCGCTTCGTGATTGAGGAAGCAAGACGAAAAGAATCAGAGAAGAAAGAAAAGTCAAGAAAGAACTGGGCCGCTTTCCAAGCAAATGACGGCGCCCACTTTCTGCCCAAGTTTGCTCCACCAGTACAAAAGCCACGACCAGAAACGGTTAGAGCCAGGGGGCTAGTCGGGAGCTTCCCGCCCAAGAAGGTATTTTAGCCTGGGGATGGACGGGAAGGGCCTAGCATTTCTTTCTAGCGGTGTGCTAAAGTCATCAAGGAAACGCTCTGAGAGAGAGAGAGCGGGAAAGTGTCATCGGGGCAAAGTGCCATGCGGAAGAAAAAGTCCGCCATCCGAGCAGACAATTCATGGATAGCAAAAAGGTAATAACAAATCATTACGTCCTTTCGTAGTAGTATCGGTGATCGGGCCTACAAACGGACTCTCAGGCGGCAAACCAACCAGTATGCTAGTCTGAGGTGCTCTTTGGGTCACAGACTTCCAGCAGCCTCGCAGGATAAAGCCATTCTAGCTCGCCCCCGAAAGGTAGAATACTAATATGCTATTGTAGATCCGTATTGCTTCGTATGCACGCCGCCTTCTCTGCAGTCAACACAATGCACAGCACAGCACAGTAGATTCACATTCAGTGGAGTATTAGATGTGTATATTTAAAGTACGAGAAGTGACGGCAGTAGGCAGTACTCGCTATGCGGCGCAAAAACATTGACGAACATTAAGCAATGCTATATCTGAGACGCTGTGCCCGATGCACGACATATCCGCCGAGTTGTCGAGTCATAGCGTGCATCGCTTTCAAAAAGAAAAACACCAAGTAAAGAGCCCATCTCCAAAGTCGTGTAACCCAATGTGCAGTATGAGCTGTACTGGTCGCGGTGTTGAATTCGGGCTTATATTACCCCCTCCCCTCCAACACGGTCCTTTGCCATTTTGCTGCTTTCCTCAACCATACATAGCGTATGGTCGACAGTAGTCACATGAGCAGGCACAAAGCTTAGAAGTTGGCCGAAGCATTAACATTGCTCGGTTGATGGTAGTTTTCCAAGGTCGACTGAAACGGCGTTCGCTGGTTGCCGCTGCTAATCGAGTTGGACGGTTCGTGCTTTTCGTAGCCGTTGGTGCTCAGATCGTAGCTCATAAGACCGTCAGTTTCTTCCGAGTGCTTTTTGCGACCCCAGATCCTGTAGGCAACCATGCCAGCGGCACCCAGCAGGATGGCACCGCCAATGCCGACTACCACGCCGATGACAGTGTTGCGAGTCTTGGTGGGCATGCCCGAGGTGGCGCCGTCCTTGTCTGAGTTGAGGTCAGGCGTCGACGTAGATTTGGTGGTGCTGGACGCGGATGGAGTGCTCGTCGACGTGACGAAGCTGGTGTAGGTGGACCTGGAAGCCGACTCCTCCTGCGAGGTCGGCTGCTCTGTAGGCTGCTGCTGCTGCTGCTGTGATGTGGATTGCTGCGAAGCAGTTGGCGTGGGTGTGCTCGACGCGGGCGCTTCTATTGGAGAAGAAGAGGAGGAGGAAGAAGGAGAAGCAGGAGGAGGCGACGAAGTCTGGGCTGGAGTTGATGTGGAAGTTGGTGAAGAGGTTGACTCAGCGGTGCTGGAGCTGGAAGGCGGTGGCGTGGTGGAGGCAGCAGTGGAAGAGGGAGTCGAAGGCGATGAAGTCGAACTGGCCGCGTTGCCGGTAGACGATTCCTTGCTATCACTGGCCGTCGATCCAAGCGTGCTGTCAGCCCGGCGTGCGAGGTTGAAATTTTGCAACAAGGCCGCGTCAGCAACGCAGAGCGCCGCGATCAAGAGCAGCAGGAAGCGAGGCGAACGCATGGCGGGCGGTGCGAGATGGAAAAGATTGCACGATAGAGTTGTTGTTTCTGCTGTGAAGCAGAAAGCTAATGAACTGAAACGAGAGTCACAGCCACGACCAGAATGCCGTTAGATATTGTTTAAGGTAGCCGTAGATGAAGCGCGTGCTAATTTGAGGTTGGCCCGCTCAAAACGGGGGTCAAACACAACGGCAGCGGGTGCGATGTGGTGGGAGCCAAAAAAGGAAGTCACTAAAATTTAGGCAGCTTCAGACCTGAAAAAGAATACCTGGTAAATGAGCGAGCTGTCGCGGGTCTTGCTGTTACATGCAAAAATATAAGCAAAGGTGGCGAAATAAATGAGCAACAAAGCAGAGAACAGAAACTTGGGAGTCAGATTCAAGTGACACAGAGCGATGGAGAGCGAAAATAAACAAGGCTTCAGGCTTGACCTGCAAAAAGGAGTGTGTGAGACTCTGGTATTGGACGGCGCCACACTACTAATGGTATTACTACTACCTAGAGAAATGTAATCATTTGGTTAAGTCCTAGGTAGACTGGTAGATAAGTGTACTCGAACCAACCAACCCAGAGAAGAGTGCTTTCAAACACTTCAAAACTAGTAAACCCTCTCATGTTCTCACAGCGAGGGCATTTCGGTACCGACTAGTTACATGCAACGACTTGCCCAATACACGCCACAAAACATCTAGGTAACTAGGTAAATAGATACGTACACAACAAAAGGGGACACTTGGGTCAGTCCTCCGTGGAGCCGCCAAGGCTCTCTGACGTGGCGCTCCAGAACAAATACCATGAAATAAGATGTCGCGATGACTATCTGAAGGCGCCAAATGTCGGTGGTTCTTTTTCACGACTGGTGCCAACTGCCCAGGTATTTACCGCCGATGGCTAAAGCACCTGCAGGCACACGACGGTTCGCTCGGCCACCAACGACACCCGGTTGTATCAGTAGTTAGGTAATAGGTAAGCAGTCAACAGCCTCGTCTATGCCAGTAAATTATCGCCATGCACCATCCCCGCCATCCCTCCTTGTCTCGCCCCCCAGTGTGTCACCTCATCACCCTACAGTTACTCATGATAAGTAAGGCCGTGATCTCGAGTTTTTTCCTTGTCTTAGGCCGTGATCTCGAGTTTTTTCCTTATCTTAGTCTTACCCACAGAAAAACCTTAGTAAGGACAGTCTAGTACTTATATTACCTAATTTTAGTAATAAAAGTACTATTTTATCTTCTTATATATTTAATATATTTATTATTACCTAAGGCTTTAATATTAAAGTACTTATCTTAATAAAGATATATTTTTAAGCTTTTTTTAAAGCTTTAAAGACTATAAATTCTTTATAAGCTTTAAGTATTTTATTAATTAAAAAAGATAATAACTAATTACTATCTTCTTTTAAAGACTTAATAAAAAATAAAAGAATTAATACTTTTTTTGATAATTAATAATAATTTTACTTAATTTTTAAACTTTTATATTAATTTTGTTTAATTAAATAAATAAATTAAAGTTTTTGTAAATACTTTTATATAATTATTATTAATAATAATTTTATTGTAATATAAATATATATATATATTATCATTTATTACTAAATTATTAAAGAATTTAGTAATGTTTTTTTAAATATATAATTTCATATATAAAAGTTAAAATAAAAATATAACTAAATTTAAAGTATTTATAAAATATATAAAAGTATTATAAAATATAATAATATATTATTTAATTTTAAAATAATAAAAGTTAAATTAATAAAAGATTATTAAGTTAAACTTTTAATTATTATATTAGAATATAATAAATATTTTTTAATAAAAAATACTTAAATTTTAATATATTTATTAAAATTTAACTAAATATATAAAAAACTAAAATAACTATTATTAATATTGATAATAATATAAAATTAATAACTTTAAGTAGTACTTATTAATAGCCTAATATTTTTATTAAAGATAATAATATTATTTTAAAAGGTTTATTAATTACTAGTTTATTTTTATTATTATTAACTATATTACCTTTAAAATATTAAAAGAAGTTAAAAGTAATATTAAAATTAAGTATAATAATAATATTAGATAAAGTAATTTATAGATTTATTAAAATAAAGAAATTGATTATCTAAAAAATAAAATTTTTTATATTTAAAGAGGTTAATATAAATATATAAAAAAGAATAAGAATAAAAATAATAAATAAAGAATTAAATAAATATAATTAATTAAAAAAGATAATTCTTTTAATAAGTTATTAAAAGGGTTTAAATATAAAAAAATACTTATAATAAAAAATAACTTTTAGACTTTTAAATAATATAATTATATTATATTTTTTAAAAAATATTTTATTTTATTAATAAAAGTAACTTTTTTATATTAAGCTAATAATATAATTAAAGTTATTATAAAAAATAATTCTTTAAATAATAATATTATTTTATTTTATATAGATTTTAACCTTTATTTTAACTTTTAATACTTTTTTTTATTATAATTAAATATTAACTTAAGCCTAAAAATTATTATTATTATTATTATTTTTATCTTTTTATCTTTTTATTACTAAACTTAGCTTTAAACTAATTAAAATTATTATTAATTTCATTATTAGCTTTATTATTAATTTTATTATTATTAATAATATTATTATTAGGTTTTTTTTATTTAAAAATGTAATAATATTTTTTTATCATTTTATTATAATTTTATTATAAAGCCTTTTTAAGTTTAAAATATCTAAATTAGCTAATTCTTTTTTTATTTCTTTTATTTTTTCTTTTTTATTATTATTAACTTTATTAAACTTATTAAAAGTCTTAATAAAATTCTATAATATTATAATAATAAAAATAAATAATATTTACTTTTTTATATTATATTTTAATATAATTAACTAAAGATTAAACTTTATTTATTATTCTAAAAACTTTACTTAATAATAATAT